TATATCGTGTGAGTTCATTTTTTTTTTTTTTTTTGTCCACTGGGATATGAATCAATGTTAGAACGAGGAGAATTGTATAGCGAACAATTTTAACATTTTAAAAATCATAACATTTCACACAATTAGAATGAAAGGTGGAAAAAAAGAAAAATCCTCTAAATTCAAGTATATAATTTCTTTGCTTTTTACAATTTAAAGAAATTCATAGAAAAAATATATTTTTTTTAATAATTAATAATTAGTTATATAATTAGGATTTAAAAAAAAAAAAGAAGAATGAAAAATTTACTTGAAAAAAAAAAGAAAATCAGATAATTTAGAGGGTCAGTGGGAAGAACCGGGTCATAATATACTGTGCGAGAATTGGGAGGATGCCAATGCATTATTGTACCCAAAGGATTTTATTTTGTCCGAGGATATATAAAACTTATGTCCTCAAAATTTTTATTAAGATAAGAAATTAAAAATGTTCAAGAATACAGTTTCCCAATAATATGCAATTCATCTTAATTTTTTTCAAATTGTCATCTGCCTATTGAACGCCATATGATAATTCAACAATTTAAAAAAAAAAAAATATATATATATATATATTTATATATATTTATATAAATAAAATATTAAAATTATAAAAAAAAAAATAAAAAAATTATATTATAAATTTTTATAAATTATATAAATTATAAAAAATATTTATATAAAAATTATATGTTTTAAATTGTTAAATATATAATGACTATATTATATAAATTTTTAAAACCCTTTTATTGTAAATTTAAATTGACTTTTCCATTAGTATATTGAAAATAATGAAAAGCGGTAAATTTCCATCAATAGTAAATTAGTCAACAAACTAGTTCGGTAATCAATTAAATTGGTTCATTTTAAAAAATACTCGAACACACCTACATTGAGTCATATTGGCTTTAATTGTTCAATACACACATATTCGCTAATAATTGGCAGAATTCTATACAAGAGAAAATTTTAGAAGAGCGATGGATCCCTTATATACAAAGACCTTAAAAATTAACCAAAACTAAATTCATTCACTACTGAAAAATAGTTTCCTAAGAGATTTTTTTTTTTTTTATTTTTTCATACACAGGAAAAAAAATTTATTTAATCCAAATAATCGTTTACTTCACTATTATAAAATATATATATTTAATTATATTATTTAAGTCAATTAAATGGTATTTGTTGCAAATACAAAAATTATTGATTCAAATACAGTTTATTTAATTTAATTATTTGATTTCAAAAATTATTTAATAAAAATTTATTTGATAATAGTGATTATTTGAATGAAATAAAAATTTTTTTCATTGTAAAATATTGTTTCAATTATTTATGTCAATGTAAAAATAATAGAAAATAAAAATGAAATTCTAAGGGAAAAATTTAATTATAATATAATCGCGAAATTAATTTGCACTAATTATTATGGATGTTAAAATATTGAGATATGAAATTTTCTAATATGATTTTGGATACGACCCTTAATTCCCCAGGTCTGTCGCGAGATATACATATATATATCCGAGCTTTATGACGAGTACATATATATATATATCGTACCGAAACTGGTATAACTATAACTGGTGAGGGGCGGCTGGACAACGCCTAATATTTGTCTAGAGACAGTGTACTCGTGAGCTTAATTGGAAAGCGCGGTGAATTTGGTATACCATTTGACCGCATACGCTTTTTAGAGAAATTCCTCCGGGTCTGTGGTATTTTCTATATACGAATCCTCTTAACGAACCTAGACTCCTCGCGTCTTACACTCTAAAACTCATTTAATAACAATAATAATAATAATAATAACAATAATTCGTAAATTACAGCTATTATTTATCCCTTTTTGCATATTAACTATTATTTACTATATTGTTTTTGCACGAAACAACTCTTATTACGAAAAAAAAACCTGGAAAATGTTTTTTACTTTTTGGAAATGCTGAATTTTTTTTTCTCAACTCGTAATAATATACTATAAGGGAGAAATTTTAGAAAAAATTTAGAAAAATAAGAATTTTTTTTATATTCGCATAAAAAAATTATTGTTGTTTTCCACAAAAAAAGGAGATAAACATAAAGAATATGTGTCAAGGATAGAGGGAATGATATAAAAAAAATATGTGATATATCAAAAATAAAAAAAGGAATATTTTTTCTTACTTTATCAGTAGAGTATAGAGATTTTGGTAAATTTTTGTTATTTTTCGCAGTAGTATAAGTCGGTTTTTTGGTCGAACACAGGGAATAAATGTAAGAAAAAATCAGTAGTAAAAGTCAATATTTAGTCAGACTAATTTTTTCGTAATTTTTCATCATCAGTATAGTATAAATCGATTTTAGTCAGACATATTGTAGAGTAATATAAAGAAAATAGTAGTACAAGTAAATGTATAGTTAGGCATTTTAGTCGAACATTTACTAAATTCGAAAAATCAGTAGTCAAAGTCAATATTCGGTCAGACTTTCTTTTTGTTCAGTTTGTCAGTAGTACAAGTCAATATTTCATTTCAAATTTTTTTTTACATTTATGTATTTTTTCTCAGTAGTACAAGTCGGTTTTTTGGTCGGACACAGAAAAAAATGTAAGGAAAAATCAGTAGTAAAAGTCAATATTTAGTCAGACTAATTTTTTCGTAATTTTTTATCATCAGTATAGTATAAATCGATTTTAGTCAGACATATTGTAGAGTAATATATAAGAAAATAGTAGTACAAGTAAATGTATAGTGAGGCATTTTAGTCGAACATTTACTAAATTCGAAAATCAGTAGTCAAAGTCAATATTCGGTCAGACTTTCTTTTTGTTCAATTTGTCAGTAGTACAAGTCAATATTTCATTTCAAATTTTTTTTTTGCATTTATGTATTTTTTCTCAGTAGTACAAGTCGGTTTTTTGGTCGGACACAGAAAAAAAATGTACGGAAAAATCAGTAGTAAAAGTCAATATTTAGTCAGACTAATTTTTTCGTAATTTTTTATCATCAGTATAGTATAAATCGATTTTAGTCAGACATATTGTAGAGTAATATATAAGAAAATAGTAGTACAAGTAAATGTATAGTGAGGCATTTTAGTCGAACATTTACTAAATTCGAAAATCAGTAGTCAAAGTCAATATTCGGTCAGACTTTCTTTTTGTTCAATTTGTCAGTAGTACAAGTCAATATTTCATTTCAAATTTTTTTTTGCATTTATGTATTTTTTCTCAGTAGTACAAGTCGGTTTTTTGGTCGGACACAGAAAAAAAATGTAAGGAAAAATCAGTAGTAAAAGTCAATATTTAGTCAGACTAATTTTTCGTAATTTTTTATCATCAGTATAGTATAAATCGATTTTAGTCAGACATATTGTAGAGTAATATATAGAAAATAGTAGTACAAGTAAATGTATAGTGAGGCATTTTAGTCGAACATTTACTAAATTCGAAAATCAGTAGTCAAAGTCAATATTCGGTCAGACTTTACAATTATTTACATTTATGTAATTTTCTCAGTAGTACAAGTCGGCTTTTAGTCGGACGTAATGACCAAATTTAAAATTCAGTAGTCAAAGTCAATATTCAGTCGGACTTTACAATTATTTACATTTATGTAATTTTCTCAGTAGTACATGTCGGTTTTTAGTCGGACATAATGACCAAATTTAAAAATCAGTAGTAAAAGTCAATACTCAGTCTCAGATTTATTTAATTTTTGTAATTTGTCAGTAGAATAAATCGATTTTAGTCAGGCACATAACTACTAAATTATAAAACCAGTAGTAAAAGTAAATATTTAGTCAGACTTTAAATTTTTGTAGTTTTATCATCAGTAGTATAAATCGATTTTAGAAATAATGTAGTGTAGTGAAGAAAGTAGTACAAAGTAATCAAAAATTTTAGTCAGACAAATTAGAAAATCAGTAGTGAAGGTAAATATTCAGTCAAACTGAAACTTTTTCTAACATTGCTAGTAGTAAAAGCAAATATTTACTCAGACTTAATAATTGTAAGTAATTTTTTCAGTAGTACAAGTCAATATTTAGTCTGACTTACCTAGTAATTTTGTCAAGTAGTACAAGTCAATGCCTAGTTCAAATTTCTACATTTTTGCAGTTTTCTAACAGTAGTATAAATCGGATTTAGTCAGACATTACTACCAACTTGGAAAATCAGTAGTAAATGTCTTTAAATCAGACTTTTTTTAAATTAAAAAATTCGTGTCAATAAAATTCTTCAACAACAATTTTACAAAATATTAAAAAAAACTTTCCCTCTCTGCCACCTTTTCCCTCCAAAAAAAAAAACACAAAATACGTTATTTAAAGTGAGGCAAACCATTAAGCGCAACTCTTATGAATTCAAAGACAAAAATCATACCCTTTTTCTAGAACTCTAGTTCAAAGGCACCCATCTCTCGGCAAAAGTAAAAAAGTCACCATCTGTACCAGAAAAAAATAAAAAAAAAAAAAAAAAACCGCTTTGAAAAGCAGCTAATATCTCTGTCTGAAATTACGAAACTCAGAAGCAGGATACAAGATAAAGCAGATGGAAAAAAGTATGTAGGAGAGCACACTGGACAGCGCAAGTAGAAAAGGGCGGTGCGCTATGCACCAAGAGTAGAGAGAAAGAGAGAGGGAGAGGGAGAGGGAGAGAGAGAGAGAGAGAGAGAGAGAGAGAGAGAGAGAGAGAGAGAGAGAGAGAGAGAGAGAGAGACTGTGAAAAGAGAGGGAGAAAGTAGGTAGAGTTCTGCGCAAGCATCAAGCACTGACGCGTTACCTTTCGAAACGAAAACAACTGATAACGCTCTATTTAATAATTAAAAAAAAAAAATAATTTTCAACTATTTCAAAAAAAAAAATTTCAATTAAAAATACAAAATTAATAATTTAATAAAAATTAATTATTTTAATAGCGAGCTGGCAATTTAGGCGCGCGCGAGACAAGTCCTGCAAACGTGGTTTAAAATCGATGCGAATCGCAGGTTGCGGTCAGTACGCGAGAGACCTTCGCGCGTATCACTTCGAACTTAGGAGCCATAAATTTTTGTTTTTCAATATATATATATATATACATATAAATATATATATAGTGCAATTTGTGAATATCGTTAAAAAATTAATAATTTAATAAAATGCGTGTCAAGTGATTATAAATTTTTTTTTTTCAATGTGTAAACCAATAATGCCGTGTTTTAAAAATATTTACCTTTTCGTGGAAACAATTTTACGAAAGGATCCATGAGCAGAGAATCAAGTTGGTACCCGTGATATAAAGGACCCTAGGGTCCAAAAATAACGTTCAGAATCTGGTGAGTACTCGCACGGCTGTTGCTTCATTCATTGATGAAAAAAAAAAGAATCTGGAAAAAAAGAGAAACAGTATTATAATTAAAAAAAATAAATTAGTAAAATTAAAAGATAATTTTTATATTAAAAATCAAAAAATTAAAACTTTCGAAATGTAAAATTTCGGAGAAAAAAATGGAAAAATCAAAATTCTTTTTCCATGAAAATTAATTACTAACAAACATTAAAAAAAAAAATTTTTAATTCCTCGAATAAATAGAAACATTCTTATAATTTACTAGAAAAACTTTTTCTTTTCAAAATACAAAAACATAATTTACTATATTTACACAGTAAATTATTATAATTTAATTATAATTTATAATTTAATTCATTTAATTTAACTACAATGAGAAAAAAGTAAACGAAAAAGTCAAGCAGATTTTTTAAATTGCTACAAAAATTTGTTTTCAACATTCTAATATAGAGGAATGCAACATAAAATGTTGTAAACTCGAAATGAAATTTCCACAGGTTTCATGAAGTGGTGTATTCTCATCTATTTACAATTTCGTGTGGCAGGGCAATTTCAAAAAAAAAAATTGTGGAAATTTATAATAATAAAAAAAAATTATATGAAAATTTATATTTATAAACTATCGATTTTCCGTCTAATCATAGAACAAATTTATTTTTTACCCCAGTCTTTAGCAGAAGAGAAATTGTATTTTTTTTTTTTAAATAATAAACTAAATATAGAAATTTGTTGATATTAAATTTACTAATGAATTATTAATGATTCAATATTGTATATGCCATAATGATTTCACGATATCTCAATATTAGTAACAAATATTTGAGGAATCGTAGAAATTGAACAATTTTGGTCAATAATTAACAAATATTAATAGATTACTAATAATTAATATTAATAATTTATTGAAGTAATATAATTTTAGAGAAGGAAATTTTGGATATTGATTTAAAATTTTGATTTTTAAATTCCAAATTAATAAAAATAATTTTAAATTTTCAAAAATATTTTTTTCCAAAATTGGATTTTTTTTTAACAATACAATTTTATTTTTTCTTATTTTTCTGAAAAAGAAGAAAAAGAGAGAGAGAGAGACAGAAATCTTGAGTTTTCTAATATTTTTGTAAACGGAAAATATATATTTTTCTTTCTGTAATATTTCGTGTCTTCGTAGGCGAAATTCATAAATCTCACTCAGGTGTTCTTATATGGCACTGTAGATATTATTCCAGTGAGAATATGCAAATCGACATTCTACGCTTTTGCCACATGAAAATAGACACACTATGCATCTTCTATGCGTTATTATCAGTAATAAAAGATGCTATAAAAAAGGGTTTAAATTATGATGTAGTGATACTACTACCACTACTATACTCTATATGAATACTAGAGTAAGTATATAGAAGAACAATAGAGATATAATATCAAGTTTAATGTCATTGTATACGATGGTAGAATATTTATATATATACTATATATATATGTATGGCAAAACTTGTAAAAGTGCTGTATTATTATTCTTTGTACAATCAAATATATTCTTATAACCGTGTAAAATATTTTTTGCACCAAAATAATTGTTAGTTATTTTTTATGGGATTAAAAGCCTCAGGTGAAAATTTAAAAAAAGAAAACAAATAAATATAGCTAAACATCTAAACACTGCTAATATTCTCATTTTAAATTTAATAAGTTTTGCTAATTAAAAATAAATGTTTGCGAAATTGGAAACAATAAAATGCTAAATATTAATACACGAAATATTAATATACGAAATATTAATATACAAAATATTAATATACTAACTATAAATATACGAAATATTAATATACAAAACATTAATATACTAACTATTAATATATTAAATAGTAATATACGGAATATTAATATACTAAATATTAATATGCTAGCTATTAATATTCGAAATATTAATATGCTAACTATTAATATGCGAAATATTAATATACTTTTAACTGTTAATATACTGAATATTAAAAAGCTAGCTTATAATATACAAAATATTAATATACTTTTAACTGTTAATATACTAAATATTAATATGCTAGCTATTAATATTCGAAATATTAATATGCTAACTATTAATATACGAAATATTAATATACAAAACATTAATATACTAACTATTAATATACAAAATATTCGTTAGTTAATTATTAATATACTAAATATTAATATGCTAACTATTAATATACGAAATATTAATACATGAAATATTAATATACGAAATATTAATATACAAAATATTAATATACTAAATATAAATATACGAAATATTAATATACAAAACATTAATATACTAACTATTAATATACAAAATATTAATATACTAACTGTTAATATATTAAATATTAATATACGGAATATTAATATACTAAATATTAATATGCTAGCTATTAATATTCGAAATATTAATATGCTAACTATTAATATGCGAAATATTAATATACTTTTAACTGTTAATATACTGAATATTAAAAGGCTAGCTTTTAATATACGAAATATTAATATACTTTTAACTGTTAATATACTAAATATTAATATGCTATCTTTTAATATACGAAAAATTAATATTTTTAACCGTATATACTTGTTAATTTGTCCCATTTAATAATTAGCTATGTTTAATTAATAATTTCAAATTAGTAATACAATTTACATAATAATAATCATTTACAATAATTGAATGACAGTTTTTGCGAATTAATAATGACTGTTTTATTTTTTAATTATCAATTTCCTAACTTGTAATTAATGGTAACAAAAATGAAAAATTCCGTATATATGAAAATATTAACTAAGTGAATTTTTTATATTTTTATATATAGCGCATTTTTGTACAAAATAATTCAATTTACCTCTCGTATATTGTTTTTCTGTTTCATTTTAATGTACTCCATTTTTATTAATACAAAAAAGTGCTCATAAAATATTATTTGAATCTAAAATAAACATACGTATAAATTTTTTTTTGAAAATGGATCCTGTAATTATTGAATAATTGAAAAGGTATATTGCTTTTTATATTTAGATTAAAACGAATTAGTATATGTATATTTATATATATATATATATAGACATAATTGAGGCTTTTTATAATACGTGCATACTTGACAATATTAACATCAATTCTGACAAGTTGCTAGAACGTGACAAGATCGTTTCACATTCAAGCAGAACTAGATGGTTGAATAGGTCAACGATCTCATGCCTTGAAGCGTCTTCAGACCTAGTAGCTAATTTAAACATATAACAAAGGAAGCTTCACCGAAGACAGTTGCTTTGAGAACCTTTCTTATCACAAAGCCCCATTGTTTCTCAACATATTTACTTTTCATTCTTAAATAAAAATTCTTCAGAAATAATAATAATATAATCATTAAAAAAAAAAAAAAAACTCATTAAAAGCTATTTGGTAATTGATGAGACTTATTGACAAAACATCTTCAAAATTTACTTAATATTTTGTTTTCTTCTTTTTTATCAAAAAAAAAATTATATTTACATTTTTGTTATTTCTTATAATTAAATACAATTTACAAAAGGACATTATATATAAATATTATTAATTTTTTTTCTTTTTTCGAAATTCAAGTATCGATCAAACTGTCCCATCGAAAGTTACACGCGGGGAAAGTTCAACTCGGTAGAAAATAACGAAGCGATAAATGGAATTTTCGAACAGAAGGGGTTCGTTTTACTGTGCACTTGTCCGAGATGTGGAGGGGGAGTTGGGAAAAAGGAAAAAAAAAAAAAAAAGTAAAACCTCTACAACCTTTCAAGTGCAAGTTGAGGGAGATCGTTAATGGACTTAGAAACATTACAGCGTCTATACATTTCGGATGACAGTTTCCATTTTAACTGCCAATAGTGCATGTTATATATATATAGAAAAAAGTCGGCAACAATGGATCATTTTTCCCCTCTCAAAGGCTATTGTAATATTTTAATCCAAAAAAAAAAAATTTTTAATTTTTTAAAATTGTAATATTTGAAAAAAAAGTCTCAAATAATTTTTTTGGTTGCTCTCTAAATCTGAATTAGTAAAAATGTTTACTAATTTGAATTAGTGACTCACTTTTTGCTTCTGAATTAGTAAAATTTTACTAATTATTAGTAACTTTTACTAACAATTAGTATTAGTAGTATTAGTGAGTATTAGGACTCACTTTTTGCTTCTCAATTAGTTAAATTTTACTAATCGTTAGTAAAAGTTACTAATAATTAGTAAAATTTTACTAATTCAGAAGCAAAAAGTGAGTCACTAATCCAAATTAGTAAACATTTTAGGATTAATACTAGGATTAATATTAGGATTTTACTAATTGTTAGTAAAAGTTACTAATAATTAGTAAAATCCTAATATTAATCCTAGTATTAATCCTAAAATGTTTACTAATTTAAATTAGTGACTCACTTTTTGCTTCTGAATTAGTTAAATTTTACTAATTGTTAGTAAAAGTTACTAATAATTAGTAAAATCCTAATATTAATCCTAGTATTAATCCTAAAATGTTTACTAATTTGAATTTTAAATAAAAATTAAAAAAAAATAAAATAAAAAAAAATAAAAAATAAAATATAAAAAATAAAATATAAAAATAAAATATAAAATAAAATCGTAAATATAAAATAAAATTTTACTAATTATTAGTAACTTTTACTAACAATTAGTAAAATTTAACTAATTCAGAAGCAAAAAGTGAGTCCTAATACTCACTAATACTACTAATACTAATTGTTAGTAAAAGTTACTAATAATTAGTAAAATCCTAATATTAATCCTAGTATTAATCCTAAAATGTTTACTAATTTGAATTTTAAAAAAAAATTAAAAAAAAATAAAATAAAAAAAAATTAAAAATAAAATATAAAAAATAAAATATAAAAATAAAATATAAAATAAAATCGTAAATATAAAATAAAATTTTACTAATTATTAGTAACTTTTACTAACAATTAGTAAAA